AATATAATCTTTTGTTCTTATCACATAAAAGCAAACAATATAGTGAGAAAATAAAACATAACTAAAAGCACATATACTATTCATAGCCATTAAGTGCACGGTTTTAATGTTCACCTTGTTTGTTTACAATTATATAACGCGCCTCCCTCGATAGCGGCAGGGCAAAGTCGGTCACCGGGAATCAATCGGCGTGTGATCCAGCGACCTACAGTTATACACAAAAAATAAACCACAACAGAATGGTTAAATTAATTCTTGATAAAATTGTTCCTTTTTATAAATATCTGTCCCATGAAAATATTATCGTGTTCGTGTCTTACTATGGTATAAAAGAAAGCTAGATCCATATTCACCGTAAACAAAGGCTCCGTTCTCATTTTGATATTGAAGAACTCTTTATAATTGAAATAAACTTGCCGTAAGTAATAAATATTTTACCACGCTTTATCATATCTCTTTTTTAAATTAGGTTTTAAACGTGTTCTTTGTTTCCCGTTCAGAGTATTCGATGGAATCATTTTTCTTTTATTCATAAAGATCTCTCCAAGAGAAGGAGTTATAGAAAAAAGTACTAGTATCTTTTATTCGTTTGAATATAAACACAAACAATTTGAACGGAAACAATATACGCCCGGATTTCATAAAAAAAAAACTTTTAAGCGTCAAATAATACACAATTATTTACTGCACGATTCTCATATTCACCTGGAACCCAGATTCTAAGTGTGTCTACCATTACGTAATCTATCTTTCGATTACACGAGGCCGAGAAAATTATAAAGCGACACACCGTGGTGAACCATTGATCCCGCAGTCATAGGCAAAAGAATATATATATATATATATATATATATATATATATATATATATATATATATATATATATATATATATATATATATATATATATATATATATATATATATATATATATATATATATATATATATATATATATATATATATATATATATATATATATATATATATATATATATATATATATATATATATATATATATATATATATATATATACACAAACCATTTTACAACAGTAAGAAATTATTATTTTCACTAAGTAAATTAAATCTTTCAAAAATATCTTAAAATGTTTTAGGTTTGACCTTATTACAAAAGGCTGGAGCATTTATTTTATATGTACATTAATCAGTCTTCAATTCTTAAATATTCTTTAGCTCCATGTGTAATTTGACGATTCATAGCGCAAGGACTGGCGATCTGCAGTTACTTTACTTCAACCAATATTTATTAAAATGCACAAGCTTTGCTCTTTTCATACACAAATAAATCCGTTTTCAACACAAGTTTTCCGAAACACATTTTTTTCATCATAGATATAAACCATGGCTATACCAATTTTAAACTTTTAAAGAGAATCTTCCGAATCGTAAGGATAGAATTATACTCAATTAAATGGACTAAACATCGATAAGCAACACCTGTACGTGTAAACTTCATAAGTGACTTCTGTGCTGCACACTATCTATTAATTTATATTACAGGTTTTATAGTTAAGATCAAGAAATAATGATTTTAAAGCAATCAACTTAATTTGTTTTATAATTTATTCAAAACCCGTATAAATGATTAGTATAGTGTGCTAACATTGTAATTTTGTTCCGTGATTAAATATCAGTAGCAGGTTATACAATGTACATTCAAGTAGTAATAAACCCTCATATGTCCAAATTCAATTTAAGAACTTATATACCGGGGTAACAATCTTATCTGAATAATAGACTTGTCATGTAATTACACGCTTTTACAACCTAAATTAAACTGTTAAAATCATAACAGGCACCAAAGTCAAACCATTTGTATCGTTTACCGTATATAACTCAGTATTTTCTTAAAAATGATGAACTTATATCTAGCGCAAATTACTTTCCTTGGTTTAAAATATACACGTACGAGAGAGCGAGTGAGAGGCATTTTATTCAAGAACATTCAAGTTTTTACCAGCGAATCCCTGTATCAAGTATCACAAGATGAAATTAGACCATTCAGTCGACGGAATGGTAACTGAATGCCCACTGAATGGTCACTGAAAGGTCACTGAAAAGATCCTTTCCCGTGACTTTTCAGTGATATTCCGTCACCATTCAGTCGACTGAATGGCAAGCACATTTCAGTGACCTTTCAGTTATCATTCAGTTGCATGTTTTTATTAAATAATCGACTTACTCTTTAACTTAAAAAAAATATTTCACTTTTTCTTGATTTAATAGCATTTAGTCTACATATTTGCTATTAAAAATGGAAAACAAAATTAATGCAAAAAAAAAATTCTTGCCCAAAGCCAGAGTTGAACCCTGATCTCCAGCGTGGAAGTCCATGACCTTATCCATTACGCTTCGACTTCTTATTGAAAATTAAGCAATTAAAATCAATCAATTTGTAAAAATCGAAATGGAACACGGTTCACCTGTTGTATCGAGGAGTTGCGATGTGTATATATCTTGTTGTATTTTGTATATTCTATGTTAATTGTGCGGATTTTGGGGACATACTAAATAATTACACATCTCTTATCGGGATGATGACAATTATCGGCGACGGGCACCTGTTCTTGTGAAAGAAATCTTCTCCTCGAAGAAAGTTTTAAATTCTCTATCTAGAAAATTAGCAAATTATTTAAACTGTTTCTTTTTAAAAGCTTTAATCTAAAATATCAAGTTTCTTCCACAAGAGGCATAAATAAATGATTTATTCTATTCCTGTAAAATGATTTTATAATGATGTCTTTCAAAAGCTGAAATATCCTGCGCGTTTTACAACTAAGAAACGGAATTTATAATATCAAGGTTCTTCCAGAAAAAAGGTATAAATAATATTAAATCTGTCTCATCGTTCAATATTAGATATTTCCTTGAAAAATATAATAACAGTAGAATGTATAAGATTGACATAGGAACAATGAAATCTATATTAGATGTGTAAAAAATAAGATAACATTTTCTTTGTTAATATTAAGATCGCATTATGATCGATAGCCTCCAATTTTTTATCAGATTGATTTCTAATTAATTTAATAGCTTATTGAATTAATATTTATTACCGAATTAGAGATTTACAGAAAGAAAATAGAAAACAAACTTATACGACATTTAATTGAATTTTGATTCGAGAATCGGATCATTATTTTTTATCATTTGAAGATTTTTTTTTGTTTTTTAAAACTACTAGAAAATTAAATATCATTTTGGATTTTATGAGTCCACACTTCTTGAATTTTACGAGTTCAGTTGGACTGTTATCATTTATTTTATAGCGAATAAATAAACAATTGTTAAGACATATTTTTAAAGTTTATCATCGCAATTTAGTTATACCTGGGAGTACATGACATATCTGACCTAAAAAAAAATACAAGATCAAGTGTAGATTTACATGATATACTGTGGTTTCATCAATATTCGTTGAGCACCAATTTTCGTGGATTTCGTTGTTGAGCAGATCCACAAATTCAAATGTTCATTGAATTACGAAATATGACATTCATTTGTATAAGCAATGCTTTTGTCCACGAAATTACGTATCCTCGAAACTGTCTGATATACAATATCCACGAAAATTGATGACAACGAAAATTAATGAAACCACAGTATTTTTGCTATATTTATACGTTCGAATTAAATTGTTCGCCAATTTGACCTTAAATATCTCCTCGTTTCAATGGTTAAATTGACTAATTCCGAGTGAAAAATAAACCGGTTATTATTTTAAATCTTGGATATCTATGAAACGCGAATGATATTAATTGTATATTATACAGGAAAGTCTTTTCGTTGTTTAAAAAGTATCAAAGGATATAAAAGACCCTTCTTATTTTAGTTAGTCCGAACATCTCAAAAATATGCCATATACATGTATGTCTTTTAACATTTGGTAAACACTTAATTGAAAGGTCACTGAAAGTTGACGGAGATGGCACTGAAAGTTTACTGAAATGTGTCCGCGGAAGGGTGACTGAAAGGTACCTGAAATATAACAGAAAGCCATCTGAAAGATCACTGAAATTAATATGCTATTCAGTGGCTGAATGGCCACTGAAAATTCACTGAAAGCCGCCTTTCAGTTTTAACTGAAAGGTCTTGTTTCTTCCTGTGCCTTGTGTTCATCATCCATTTTGAGTTGATATTACGTCTAATAGCAATCTTTGTTCAATGCGGCTATCGATATGCCCAACAAAATGTGGAGATTGCTAAGAAAAATGATTTATTTGTAATATTTGTCTGTCAGTGCATCGATTTACAAATATATAAATTTTAAAGGGAAAGACTGAGTTATCATATAAACTGAGTAGATATCTAATTATTTCTCGAAAATGAATATTTATATACGAGGTTTATTATCTTATTTTTAATCATTGAAAATAATCGCCAAACTAATTTTGTTAACTATGAGAAGATAGTCAAAAGTATTTAGCATAAGAATCTCTGCCTTATTGTTAGGCAAATGCCTGAAGTACAATTATTAGGCAGATAAATAAAATTATGACCACGGTTTGGTCTGTTATATCGTGAATGTTTCTTTTTCTCATTCTACAATTAAGAGTATTTACCTTCTGATATTTTAATTCGGACAACTGTTTTCTAGGTCTAATGAGGAGCCGTATAGGGCATTATTATTTTTTTGATACAAACTAAGCATAATTAATTTATGTGTAATGCAACTAAGTACACTAGTCCTCAATCTTTAATATTAAGCTTTCATTACAAAATAATGCAATACTAACTGTTAATACGTGTAACTTAGGCGTTCAATATTAAATGTAAATCTGTTTATTATGGCTTGAGGGGATGTGTCCATCAATACTAAACAAGAGACAATTATAGTATTCATAAACTTATTGATTGAAAGAGATTTGTTTATAAATACTTAATGAGATGCTCACAATTACTATATTATCGTGAACTATATCCATAATAATCTCGAAACCAGTAGATGCGTTCTCAATTATAAAACAATCTACCGATGATGCAGGGGTTTACCTTCTACATTATATTCCTATATGTTGTGTTTCGGCCATTCATAAAGACGGAGGAGATAGAAGTCTCGGAGTTACTTGAGCAAATTTTGACACTGTGCGGAACTGGGCATTTTTGTTTCCTGAATAAAACACTTTTTCCCTTAGAGGTCAAAGATTCAGCACTGCACCCGCGTTGTCCACCTTGTTTTTGTGATCAGAAGTGTTACATCAGAGGTGACTGTTGCCCGGATGTGTTCTTTTCTCCACCAGTACCGACCTGTAAGAATGTCACGATCGTTAATGCGTCATCAAATTACATTGAAAGAAAACAAAGAACATCATATTTAATGATTGACTCTTGTCTACACAACACAGAGAGTGATGTTGTCAAAAGATGCGAAAACGTCACGAATGACGTCGATAAACTGAAATATCCACCAGTTACAAGTTACGATACCTCTCGAACGTATTATAACCGGTTTTGTGCCATTTGCAACGGTGATTCAAATTTTTTAACCTGGCCTATTGATATAGTCTGTGATCAATTTCTGGACATCAATTTTATTTCAACCTTTGATGACGTCATCAGTAATGCCATGGCTCGAAAATGTGTGTTACAGTCATATCCTCCAAATGAAAATATATCTTACAACTGTTACAAAGAAAACGAGCAATATTTTAATTCTTGTAATAAAACAGGGACGTGGAAACATTATATCCAGAGTGTTGAATTTGGATGTGATGCCGATTATTTCAATAATGATACACTGTTCAAAAATATGTTTTGTAAAATGTGTAATCCAACATTCACTGCTGTCAACACAATATCTCGGTGCAACATGAGTGGAATGTGGGATACGTTTAACCATACAGTAAATAACGCGTGCTTATATTATCCAGACAACTCTGGAACTTTGCCATATAAGAATTTATTTTGCTATTTGTGTAACCGACCAAATTCATCAAAATTTCCATTTTCAGATGTAAGCTTGGACATAAATACCGATCTTTTATTTCGTAATGGATCCGATGTACCTATATTTTACTTCTTTGTGGATGTGCAGGAATTCTCAGAGGAATACTTCCTTTTAATAAAGCAAAAAGTTTTTGAACAATTCGGAGAAATCAAAATGATAAATAAATCACGTGATCTAGTTTTGATGAAACAAAATTACAGTGATTTAACAAATTTAGTTCATAAGTTGTATTCAATGGACTTTGTATCGGGTACTTGTGGAGAATACAAAATTCCAACAAAGTTCAATTCCAACTCTTATTATAACTGTTCATGTAATACATCTTGCATCTTTGACATTGGAAACAGGTATTGCTGTAAAGATCTATACTTGATGTATCCTACAACTTGCCTAAAAGAACGAATATTTTCGCAATCGGATTCAAACAGAACGATTAACGAAAGCTTAGTGACAAATGGGTGTTATGGTCTAGATAGTTATCCCGAGTTTATAGGACAAGGGTGTAGGAAACCGTCGGGAGATGCATTTTCTATTCACCCAGTCACGGATTTATCGACAGGCATTCCGTATTTAAATATGTATTGTTTATTGTGTAGTGTTGCTCAAACAGAAAAAAATTACAAACCCTGGACAATCAAGTCACGATGTTTTTCATATATCGAACACACAAACTTCTTGCATTATAATAGTTTTATAAAATCTGTAAGAGAAGCTGAGTGCAATATAACTCTTTATCCGCCAACGGATAGTCAAAAATGTGACAAACCCTCGACTTATGTTGTAGACAAATGTAACAGAACGGGACATTGGCCAGTGATAGATTCAGATGTGAGTTGGGCGTGCGAGGATCTACCATATACAAACAAACAACAATGGAGTGCATATAATGAGTTTGGAGGATGTGTGTATAAAAACATTTATTGTGCTATGTGCAACCCATATAGAGATGTGGATATAACAATTGACAAATGTCAAGAATCATTTGGTATGACTGGGGATTATTGCGATTTTTTTCCAAAGGTGTACTTCTATGCTCCATACAAGAATTTGCATTGTGCAATGTGTAATATGCTCGGTATGTCAATAGATAAAGGGGAGGGTGGTGTAAAGGGAGAGGAAGAAGACAATATGGCGTCAAAGTCCCTGGTCTGGTATCCTTTGCTACGCAGTTTGTTTTCCGTCAGTGGTGATTATGATGAGATGGATTCTGAGGCACTGCTTGGTCGGCAGTGTTCAAATGACCAAATTTATGACGCATTCCTTGTAAGTTATTTCATCATCGAATTCTTCAATGAAAATTTAAAATATTAATTAATATGCAAATATATATGATGGTCTTAATAAGAAACTTAAATTTATGTTTAATTTTTAATTTTCTAAATGTGTTTTGGTGGGAATAAATACCGAATGTCATAAAACAATGTAATATGCATAATTGAAATTAAAACATCTTAACTTTCTTTCAGGGAATTTGTAGGAATATAACATGCTTTCCCGGAAAGTATTTAAGTCATGGAGAAAGCTGCATCTCGCTTTTTTCAATCACCAAAAATCTTCGATATAATTTGGATATAACTTTTGATGGATTTTCCAAATACAACATATCAGAGGAAAATATTGAAGATCTGGTCACAGATTTCATACCATTCAAAATTAAGAAAACCGTAAAGCTAACACAAAATCTTTTTTTCAATATCTTCCGCATAGAATATGTTCAGAAGAAGTACGGAAAATTCCAAGGATGGATTCAATCTACAATATTCATCAATGAATCAGTTCATCGCTTAAAAACGGAAAGATTGCTTATACAATTTACTAAAACAAAGTTGAAATATATCTGCAATGATACCTTTATTTTGTTTGATTTCAAAAAGAAATATTTTTCCTTAGGGAAGAATCACACCAACAGAATGGAACTAGAAGGAAAAGACCGAAGTCCAAATTCGACTGATGGTAATGCATGGAATCATATATTACGATTTCGAGAAGTACATATCACTAACGTATTGATGTGCAAACAAGTGGAATTCCAATTAGAAGAGTATGAATTTGACAGCATTTATAACATTGTGTTTGAAGAGCTTCGATATTTCTCTACCTGCTGTAAATGCCGATATATCGAAGAATGGGACTATAAGAGTATGCATTGATGTGTTGTTGCCTAGCATGAATAAGGAAAACAATTTTAGAAGAATTTTACTCACCCTCTCTGTTGCATTTTCTATATTATCATGTGTATGTCTGTTGATCACTTTTCTCACGTACTGCTTCTTTCGAAGAACTAAGATCACTACCAGGGAAAATGATCATGGTTCTTGTTTTTACTATCTTTATCATAAATATTGTATCTCTGACGAGTTACGGGGAAAGCAAAAACACCAACAAATGTGTAGCTGTTGGTATTCTTCTGCATTACTTCTGGCTGTCGTCTTTTACAAGTATGAACGTTTGCTGTTTTCATATGTATCGGGTTTTTCACACAAGAACACCTCTTCAGATGATGAATGAAAAGTTCATGTTGATAAAGTATTGTATTTATATCTTTCTCCTGCCACTTGTTATTGTTTTAGGGTATTTGGTTATCATGTTTTCAGTTCGAGGTAATGTTGGTTATGGGAAACAAAATTGTTTCATAGATGGAAAATTGTCTTTAGTTTGTACTTTTCTAGTTCCTGTTGGATTTTTCTGCATTAGTAATGTCTTTTTCTTCTCACAGACAATACGTGCAATCAAACTTTCTCCAACAGTTTCTAGCAACAAACCCGAAAGGAACGATTTTTTAATATGTGTACGCTTATTTCCTATAACAGGGGTTATCTGGCTTTTGCAGATCTTAGATGGTCTTCTGCCTCCAAGTTATTTCTCGTACATTATTTCCGTTCTAAACACATCACAGGGTGTGTTTATATTTCTGGGTTTTGTTTGCAATAAAAGGACAATTCTTATGTACAAAAAGACATTTAAGGACAAGACGGGAATCACAAATAGTACGGATCTCCAAAGTGCGTGTGAAACACCCAGAATGTTGAAAATTGAGACTAGTTTGTAATTTTGGATATCAAATTATAGAAACACAGAAATATCCATTGATATTGTTTATGTTGTATTCATTAACTCTTATTGAATACTTTCATATTTTTTGTCAATGATAAATTAATATTTAAATCACAGACTTAAATATTATTGAAGAAAAGGGTTCTATTAAAATTTTATTTTTGTTATCATAAAGAGTGCATAAAGAATGATGTTTGCCAATCATTTGATAATACTGCGTGTTGCTTCATTGAATCTCAGAAAAGATTTGCCTTGGTGGTTTGAAATGAAAACTGAGTATTTCACCGTTTGAGAGAAACATTTAGAACGAGAAAATGAAACAAGTTACTTCCTTGAATTAGAAAAGGTTTTCCTTTTCGGTTTGAAACGACCAATAAATAATTCACCGTTTTAGAGATATGACATGAAGCTATAACAATTAAAGTTACTCCAAAGAATATAGCAGGAAAATTTGCCTCAACGGTTTGAAATGACCAATGAGTAATTCACCGTTAGAGAGACATAACGAGTAGATAAAAATAATATGAAACCTTTAAATTAATTTATGGTATATGAAAAGTGCTACGGACTTTGTCGATTCTTATGAATAATTGGTCAAATTATATATGCTTCATCACATTGAAGTTTTCTGCTGGTTAACTACATACAATATATAGATGAAATAAATTCATTTCCAATTTTTCTTCAGATGTGCATGGCTTTTCAAATATCTTAATGCTTCTGGAGTCCATGTGTATACTGCGTGTATGCCCTTCCGATGTATATACATGTAAATCAATTTAGAAGATCTCTTCTATTAACCTCCGATGAAATTGTGTATAAATATATAGAGTGAAACATATGGAGATAACGAACAGTAATCAAGATTTAAAGTCCGTAAAACAATACAAAGTAGGAACAGAGCAAACACGGACTCCTAAAACATCAGAGATGGGATCAGGTGCGATGGAGGAGTAATTATCCCCTGCCAACCAGTACCACCCGCCGTGTACACCTTTTCTTGTTCGGGAAATAACAAAAAAATCTGTCGTCAATTTAGTGTTTAAATAATCGTCTAACAATTACATGTAGTATGAAAAAAGTCAGTCAGCATTTGACTCAATGATAAATTGTATTTGCTACATGTAACAAGGTCATTATATCGACCATAGAATGCACAAAATGATGCCTTTAAACCTGACTGCTCATATTTTTGTTTTATCAACTTGTTTGTCAATAATATACCTCGTTTTAGAAATTGTTCATAAGTAGAGCATGTTCTTGCGTATCGATTCAACTGAGATGTATAAAGTCCGTATGCAGGTGATAATAGTATATTGCTGTATTAGTAAATGAAGTTGACGATAGACAAAATAAAATTTTCACGCTAATCATACAACTTGGTTGTTAGATTTCCATTAAGATCTTTTCAAGTAAAATATCCAAGTATGGAATAAATTTGTAATGTGTCGTCTGTATCTTTCTTCTCATGCTCACTGGGACATATATACAGCATCGACATAGGAATGCAAAATACCCTTCTTAATTGACAATACGTCGTAGATATATCTAAATGTTGAGTTGAAGGCCACAGCAAGTGCTTTCTTATTTTCAGGCATAAGATTTTTGACAAAATCTGATTCATATGAATATTAGAAATAGTTCTGCAAATAACGGGGCGTGATTGGTACCCATGATCTCCAAAAAGGAAAATTATTAATAGATATTGTTAATGAGAAACTCAAGTGTTTTTTTTATGTCAACTTCAGAGTACTTGTATGTGCATTCAGAATGTGCTTAAACAAAATAATTTGGAAATGATCAATGACTAGGTAAGTACATTTACAAGTTTGACATTTATTGAAAAAGCAGTTATCAATGGTGTCATAAAGCCTGGTATTTAATTTATCGTGAAGAATCGTTGTTTTCGGTTGAAACGTCGTAAGTTTTGAATCTGTTGGTTTCGGTAAGATCTTGTGATTTCAAATTGTCCAAATGTTCCTTAAAATTTTTGAGTATCCACATCTGATTCACAACACTTCTTAAATATATTGTTGCACAGTTCTCTTGAAGTTATCCTTCACTACTGTCAATATCTTAGTGATGAGTAAAGAAAGAGGCTTGGTTAAACATTTACTGGAACGCGCAATGTATCTTTGTAAGGATTCTTATGAAGTTTTGGAATCTAATACCATGGGAATATATACTGTAGTTTAAATTCATCTTGGTTCTTCGGGATATTAAAAATATTTAAAAGTGACCTTTGATTTTGAAGAATATCTTTTTAAAAAAAAGAAACTATGAGTATAAAATGGATTACTGCTCGTAGAATTAAATTCAGGTTCTTCTAAGATCAATTTATATAATGAGCCTTACAAACGAAGACAATGTTGTTACCCGCTTTGTCGGCAGGGACCAGTACGTACTGATCATGTAATCTATCAAATTCTTTTTCACTTTTGGATTATTATTATTTTTTCCTCTCAAATCATATATTCAATAATGTACAATATAATAGTGAGGCAAAACCTCGGCAGAGGCCCTCTGGTAATACCTCACCAGGGGTGCCAGGAGCTCCCTGGTTCGGTATAACATTATATAATATATTTCCAATATTTGAACACAGAAAGTTTTCCCATTATACTTATATATAATTATTGATGCTTCATTTTCATACATAAATATTTCAAAGAAATTTGCACAATTTTTACATATAACAAAGTATACGTTTAACACCACTAGAAGCATGACCCTTGTTGCAGTGGGGATTGTGTGTAAAAAAAAGTCTATTTCAATCTCACTGTAACTAATTTGGGTAGGTCACTCTCAAATACGGGTCTTTTCATGTTTTACATCTTATAAACAAGATCAATGTGTAGAGCTTTGTGATAATAAAGTTAGATAATAAAAAACACATCAGAATGAATGAATATTACAAAGACATGAATATTTTTTCCTCACATACATATTTTAAATCGGGCATTACATTTTCATCTGATGATCTTTTAACTTATTCATCTTAAACATATTTTAAACATAAAGTTTCCAAATACATGAAAAATAACATAGCCAAAAAAAAAAATAGTACATTAACAATCTGTGTAGTCAGTGTGTCTTATAGTGGATTAAAAAATGTGAATACAGGTAACTCTTGATGGCTCGAACTTTGTTCTCTCGATCGCTCGGTAGATGCTACTCAGAAATCAATTTTACGACGTGTTGCCTCGCAG